TATTTGAATATTTTAGTATAACTATTGAATAAGTTAAATTTAAATATTTATTTTGTATTATTTTTCAAGTGAATACATAGCTGTGAGTAATGTGGAAAAGAACCAAGATTTATTAAATAAATAATTTCAAAATGTTTATTGTATGATGTAATTTATTTTACCTTTTCATTTATTATGACTACACACAGCCACACAGGACCCCCACAAGACGGCTGTTGGACCTGGAGTTCAGGGCCTCGGCTGGTTTTTAAAATTTTGACAGTAATTAGGAATACGGGGGGAAGCTAAGTCTATATGTCTATATAACGTATATAATCTCAAAAGAAATAATTTTTCAGAATCTATTATATTCTGTAATACTTATTAGTATTAAGTAAAGAATAAATAAATAWAATATATTATTAAGGTATAAGTGGATTTTAAATTTTAAGTAAAAATGTACTTATTTTCCAGAACATAATTTTTTTTTTGCGGTATATGGTCATACTGATTTTCCTTCAAAAAAATGGCGAATTCRTTTATGACATTTTCCTATGATTCTCGTGTAATTCCTTATCAGTGTCCATTCTGATTTATCTATTCTGTGGTACCATCATATTTTCTAATTATGTTACCCGAATAGGTTAGTTCAAATTGATTGCACTAGCGCGCGTCGTTAATCTGTTTTGTCAATACTATCCGACCCAATATAATTATAGACATATTTGTCATCAAATCCTAAACTAAGCCTTAGATTTTCATCCAATTAATAATAATCCTTAGATGTAATTGTTATATAGTTATTTGTTTGTTGGATTTTTATATGAGATGGTAGTAATTTATTTAATAGATCAATACTGTAATTTTTCTTTTCTATTACAGTTTTGATATCTTTTGTTTCAATAATCACATTTATATCTTTTAAGAATCTTTGTGTGTAAAATGTTGGAATTTTTTATTCTATTACTGTGTAAGCAATATCAACACCTAATTCTGCTCCTTTCMCTWTAGGCCATGTTTTATTTATAGGAATCATCTGTTTTTTAAAGTCTCCAATGTAATCAAAGCCTAAACAATTTGATAAATATTCATTAAAGCATAGACCGATTGAGGCAGTAATATTTATAAAACCTTCAATTAATTCAAGACTTATTTTAGGAAAATCCTCCACAAATTTAGCTCCGAATGAATTAAAAACATTTTCAATTTCACTTAATGAATATAGGTACACCTATAAATATTGTACCTAACGGGATTTGACCATTTCGACCTAATCTAAATTCACATTGTTTCTCTATATTTATATATTTTTCATCTGAAGTAGGATAGTAAATCATTCTTTTGTTACTTATCTTTATAAAATTTAGATCTTTAAAACCCAGATATTTTTTTTAAGTTTTCATCTAGATTATAGTAACATGGGGATTCAATTTTAACCTTTTTATCAACAAAAGATATAACTAAGGGACTGATTAATTTATTTAGTTGCTCTTTAGTATATTGGCCATTATTGATATTAATTATGTTATTGTTAATTGTAATTTGGCAATCTTTTTCAATTTTAATTAAATTATTAGAACTRGCMAACGAGAAAGCATAAAGTCCAATAGACATATTTTGATTTTCATTATGTATGTAATGTTTATATAATTATTATACAGAGACAGATTTTGACAATTATAAAGATATATTAATTCAGACTGATTCAATGTATCAAAATAATGATAAAAAAAACTGAGTTTGTTAAATCAAGTAAAGGAGAAAAATATTTGAAAATGATTAAACCTATTTGGCATAGTTTACCTGAAAATGTAGCCAAAAAGGAAAAAAAGAGATTACCAAAAGAGATAGAAAATGATTTGCAAATTGAAGATGAAGAAAAAGAAGGAGGTGGTTTAAAAAAGTATTCAGAAGATCGTATTGAGTATAAATATATACATAAATTAAATTAATTATTAAAGAGATTATATTTTGTTGCTAGTGAAGAAAAAGCAGGCCATAATAATTTTCATAATGAAAAAATTAATATTGTGCATTTTTTTTTACTTCTGAATTAGAAAGAATAGTTAATACCCCACAAGGAATTGAATATTTAATATCGTATGTAACAAATTTGCCTGAAAAA